GATGTTTAAATAAATAAATAAATTATTTTTTAAATAAGAAATGTCCTGACGTCCCTAATGGTAAGTGTGATGACATAATTATTCATTTTTAAAATCTTATGATATTATTTAAATATTATTTTCTTTACTAAGTATATGAAACTCATCTTTTCCCATGCCCCCTTCCCCCAGATGAGGAAGATAGTGAGGAACCGATCGCTAATCTATCCCTTGAAGTCTTTGAGGATCTCGTGGATCTACAAACTTTGAGTGCATGACTTGTTCCGCACTCTGATGAGTCCATTCGAATAGTAAAAGAAGTGATTTTTTTTGTATTTTGTTGTCACTTCTGGCCTCAATTATATATGTATAATTGGAACTCATATATTTTTATAAGGAATTTGTAATAATTTGCTCTACTGCATACAATTATCTATCATGCACTCATAATTTGTTTCTCTATTTGGTACCCTTATGTCTTACTTAGCATTTAGGATGTCACACAATCTCAATATGTTTCATCTGATAATGTTGAACTTGATTTTGACCAATACTTTGGCTACTTAATTATCACAAAATAATGATAGCCTTTCTTCTTTAAATAGTTTTAATTCCTTCATTAGTTTTTGCAAATATAATAATTCACATACCCCTTAGGTAATGCTCTATATTCTGTTTTAGTACTAGAATAGATAACTACACTCTATTTCTTACTTTTTCATGTAATTAAGTTGCCTCCAACGAGTGTATAGTAACCAGTAGCTGATTTTCTATCATCTGGAGATCCAGCCCAATCAATATCTGTAAATACTTCTATCTTAAGATGATCATTTCTGGATAATAGTAGACATTTTTCTGTTACAGGTTTTAGATATCATAATATTCAAAAGACTGCATATAAATGAGTCTCGTGAGGATCATGAATGTAGTGACTCACCAAGCAAACTGCATATGTTATATCCAGTCTTGTATGTGAGAAATAATGAGTCTTCTAACCAATCTCTGATATTTTCCCATATCAATTGATGTACCACTACTTGTTTGTAGTTTGTGATTACTATCAATAGAGGAATCTGCTGGCTTGTAACCTAACATATCAGTCTCTTCTAACAAGTTTAGGATATACTTTCTTTGATAAATGAAGATTCCTTTATTAGATCTAGGAACCTCAATTTTCAGGAAGTACTGCAATTTTTCTAAATCTTTAATTTCAAACTCTCGATGAAGAAATTTTTTTAATTGAGCCATCTCCTTTATATTATTTCCAGTCACCACAATATCATCTATATAAACAATGAGAAGAGTGATCCTACTACTCTCACAATACTTGATGAACAGGGTATGATCAGCATTACATTGTTGAAATCTAATAAAGATCATAACTCTTCTAAACCTTTCAAACCATGCTCTTGGATACTATTTTAATTCATATAAGGCATTTTTTAATTTACAAACCTTTTCTTGTGGTTTTTCATCTTCAAATCTAGGTGAAATTTCCATGTATACCTCCTCCTCTACGTTCCCATGGAGGAAAGTATTTTTGCATCAAAATGGTGTAAGTCCAAATCAAAGTTAACAGCATAAGACAATATTATTTTTATTGTGTTTATCTTTACAAGAGGTGCAAAAGTCTCTTAATAGTCAACTCTATAAGTCTTAGTAAACCTTTTAGCTACTAATCTAGCTCTATACCTTTCAATCGACCTATTTGCTTTGTGTTTTACAGTGAACACTCATTTGCAACCAACCATCTTCTATCCTTGTGGATGTGAAATAAGCTCTCATATTTCATTCCTTATTAATGCTTTCATTTCTTCAGTCATCACTTCCTTTTATTTGAGATCTCCTAAAATTTTCCTTCAATTCTGTGGAATAGACACAAAGGAAATGACAAGACAAAAGCTCTATAGAAAGGAGATAAAGAGCTATAGGAAATAAAGTTAGATATAGGATGCTTAATGCAAATCTTTATTCCTTTTCTAAGAATAAGGGATTTATTAGATAAATCACAATGTAAGATAACTCACAAATATCTTCAGGAACTGAAGAAGATTCTTGATCTGGAATAAACTGCATGATATTTTTTTCTATCTTATCTCTCCTTGAATACCTCTTCTAAGAGTAACGAGTTTATCAGATAAATCACAAGATAAAGATAACTCACCAGTGTCTTCAGGAACTGAAGAATATTCTTGACTTGGGATAGACTGCATGATGGTTTTTTCTATTTTATCTCTCCTTAAATACCTCTTCAAGTTCGGTTTATTCAAGTGTCCATTATTTTCTTCTTAAATAAAATTTTCTAACATAGAACTCTCCCCCTGAATATGATTGTCAAGAGTTACCGAACCGAACATCACCTCTTCCTTCTCACTCTCCCCTTGAAGAAGTGTTGGGTTGGAGCTGAAGTAGGGTTCAAATTCTCTAAAAGTAACATCCATAATCACAAAGTATTTTCTAAACGATGGATGATAACACTTGTAACTATTTTGGGTAGGAGAATATATAATAAATATGCATTTGAGAGCTGTAGGTTCTAACTTACTCACATTTCTAGCATTGACAAAACAAATACATCCAAACACTTTTAGGGGAACAGTATGGGAATTGTTTCATTGCAAAACCTCCAAAATACTTATAAAATTGAGGACTCGTAAAAGCATTCTATTAATAAGATAGGTTACTGAGAGAACTACATTTCCTGCAATAACTTTTAGGTAAATTCATGATGAATATTAGTAACCAAGTTACCTCGAATATGTGTATGTTTTTCTTTTTAGTAACCTCATTTTATTCACTAGTGTAGACACAACTTATCTGGTGAATTATCCCCCATGACTCTAAATGGGTATGGAACGTACTATCTATATATTCTATACCATTATTAGTTCTCAAAATCTTAACTTTAACGTCAAACAGTGTATATATTATTTTATGAAATAATTGAAAGCATGAAAATACATTATTTTTTGCTTTCAACAAGTAAATTCATATTAATCTAATACAACAGTCAATAAAAGTAAACCATCGGTGACCAGATAAAGAGGTATCATGAATAGATTCCCGCACATCAGAGTGAATAATCATAAAAGAATTAGAATTTCTATTATTACTCAAATAGTAAGAACTCCTTTTATGTTTAGCAAATTCACACTCATCACAAAATAAAGAATCCATCGAAGTTATGTTAAATAAATTAAGATATAATTTTTGTAAAACAAAAAAAGAAGGTAGTCCCAACCGTCGAGGTCATTTTAATATTTCTAAATTTACTTCCTTATTCTCAATGGTGGCTTGATTCCTAATTAGGTTCTGACTTCTTTTTAAGACATATAAGTCATCCTGCAGTCTACTATAGTCAATCATCTTTCCTATTCAAAGATCCTAAAAGATATAATAATCAGAAAAAAAAATTCAATTTTACAATTTAGATCTCCAATAATAATACTAGTAGATAAAAGGTTATTAGGAAAACTAGGCATATATAAAACAGAAGATAGTATAATATTTGACATACAATTAATAGACTCTATTCCGGAATAAGAGTGTATGATCCATCTATTATACGAACAAGAAAAAATAGGAAAGACATTCTTTGAAACAGTCTATCATGTATCTGTTAACTCCAGAGTTTATAATCCAAATATCAGTAGCAGGAATAAGAGGAAAAGAATGAATACATGATTTTGTTATATCTGATGCACCAATAGTTGATGAAGAGTTAAGTTGAGACATAATACACTTCAGGTTTCAAATCTCTTCGATTGAAAAAGTTCCAACTGTTAGTATTTTAGGTGCTTTTCTTGTCCCAACTAAGTTTATTTGAGCTCTCATAGGTCCACCTTTCCTTCCCCCACAACCTCTAGTTGGTCGTCTTTGTAATTTTTAGTAAGTTTCCTTAGTATGTCTCGATTTGTCACAATAATCATAACTCTTTCGATCTTTGAATTAATCAGACTGAACAATTAACTCAGCTTTCTCAACTAGTACTACATAAAGCATGATATTTCTTCTGCTTTCTTCTTAGTGAACATAAGAAAAAGTTTGTTCTAATAAGAAATGATTTGTGATGATGGGTTATCAAAACTAGGATAAATTATTTTTTTTGCTTCTGACATTTTTGACTACTAAAAACACAAAAAATAATAACCAATAATGAATCTCACATGGATAGAATAAACCTCCTAACCAACGGAGACGAAAAGCACTGTGAGACTAGAGAAGATCACCGGAGACAAGTATGTCCAGCGAGACAGGAGAACCAGAGTTGGATCCGAGATAGACAAGTCTGGACAGAGGCAGATGCGTCCCGCGAGAGGAGAAATCGTGATTGGATTCTGACAAAATCAGGTAAACTTGCTGGTGCAGGGCGAGACACAGTCGCACTGCTGGAAAAAAATCAAAGATCGCGCGCAGCCGCGTGAAGAGAACCTGTTGGTGCAACAGATCACACGGGTGAAGCATATCAATCAATCTATCAACAGATCACACTGCAAAAAACAGTGTGCAGACCTGTGCATGAAATCAAAGGCCTAAGTCGAGCAACCCGTGCACGAAATCGGGTAAAAGAAGGGGCACGAAAAAGCACCTGATCTCGACAAGAGAAAAATCACAGCGATTTCAAGTCGATCAGGTCGGGGAAGGGCTGGGATTTTGAGCAACAGCCAGAGGAACATAAAACATTGTGAACTAGACGGCCGTGCGCAAAGGAGCAGCGCAAATTACCGTACGCGAACAGAGAATGGAGAATAGTGGGTCGGGTAGGCCGAAGAACAAGTAGGGCGGCAAGCCGGTGGTGAGACTATGACTCTGTTTAGGTGGATGGTAAGAATATTCTAGGGGTTGAAAGGAATCTTAAAATTAAAATCTTAATATATCTTTATCTCTGATACATGAAAAATTTAAAAAAAAATATTTACTTTGTTCTTTATTATAATTTTTTATGTTAGGAATGACATATATATATACAAAATTTTTATATACAAATAATAAAATTATCCTTAGAGTAAGCATTGTAAATAGTTATAAGAAATTAATAGTAAGAGGTATATAAGAAAAAATATTCTAACTATTTAGCCAACAAAATATTCATGTTAACAATCTCTCTTATTTCTTTCTCCTATTTTTAATAAAATATTATATTGAAATAATTTATCTTTATAAATTTTTCTAATATGGACCAAATCCTCTTCTAGCTAATGAACACTAAGGGAGAAGGAAGGTTTAGGGGCATTGTATAAGGAGAAAAACATCAATGACTTTATTTTTTCTAAGTCTTTTGCTTTTATAATGATAGAAAACCCAATGATACTATGCATTGAAAAAAGTAGAATAGACTCGTTTAAAACCCAATTAAATTTGAATAGACTTGCTTAAAACCCAAGTAAATTTGAACTGACTCGCTTAATTCTGTTCTAGTTTTTAACCAAAATCATAACCAATGTAGGTCAATTTGAAACATGTTTTTTCTTTTTTTTTTTCATCACACTAAAGTAGAAAACATTTAGATTTGAAGTAAAATTTATTTAATTTTGACTCATTTGTATATATATATATATATATAATGTTATATGTATTTTGATTTTAACTAAAAATATATAATATATATCTCAAATGGGGTGAGATAAGTTGATTTTAACTCAAAACTTATACAGAATGAATTAGATGCCACAACTATGAACTCATTTTGAGTCTCGGGTAGGTTTGAGTTTTATTAATTCACAATTGGGTAGGATTTAGGGTTCGAGAAATTTGTCCCAAACTTGGCCTATTGCCCCTATTCTTGTTATTTTAGTAAAATTTTGGCAATGGACATAAAAAATTTTATGTTTGCAAAAATTCAAAATTCACCTCCCTCATTCAAATACCTAGTCTAGATTGTGAGGTAAAAATGATATATGCTAATATCAAGATGACACATTGCATCAAGAAATATTGTGCCTCATTTCTGGGGCTATAGAATGGATGGTGCAACCGCATAACCTTAATTATTTGTGTTTCTTCATATGATATACACAATAAGATAGAATCATCAACTCTATAAGAAAAACGTAATATCATTTGACTTAAATTCTCTTGTATCAATTGTGTATATTTAAATTCTATAATATCCCAAAAAAATGAAAGTAAGTGTGTGAATAGTGTAAACTATAAATAGTTTAATGAAAGTAAGTGCATAAATGACCATAGGATGAATTAAGGTCATGATATAAGAAAAAGTGGCAGTATATTGTGAATGACTTCAATCAGGTGTTTTTTTCTTTAGATGGGTGTGTAACAAGACCTTAAACTAAGTCGTCAACTTTATAACGAGAAAATAATATCATGAGTTAAATATTTTTAACTCAATTGTATTTGTTCGAATTCTATAATATCACCTGAAAAGAAAATAAGTTACAAATTTTATCCATGAGCATGAAGTAAATAGTATAATGATAGTACAATGGATAGGTGATTTAGGAGGGAAGAAATTTCATGCAGATCGGAGGATTTACTTTAGCCAAGGCAAGAATTGAAGCAGGGAGAACCCACAGTCCCTCTCCACAAATCAACCCGGAAGCCACAGCTGGGGACCATCAGCTCAGCCTTATTTGCATTAAGTTTTTGCCATATAAAAACAATCAACGTCCCCAAGCACATGTCAATCGCAAAGTAGGCTCCAACAAGAAACGGCACTGCCATGGCCATTGGCAGTGGCATCCACTTTCCTATTTTAGCTGTTCCGAAATCTCTCACGACATTTACACCGACTGCAAATGCAAAGAAACCATAACAAAGTTGCAAGCAATGTTGAGGTAAGGCTGAGAATCCTTCAACACCTAAAATAGCCATGTTTCTGTAGATTAAGGCATAAGGAGCTTTGAAATCTCCATAAGGATTACCCACATCAAATGCCTTGTAAAACAGAAAGAAACTAAGTGGAGCTGTTATGCACCCTATTGCCGTCCCAATAGCTTGGCTTACAAACATTGCTCTAGGAGATGTTAGAGTTAAATGAGCTGTTTTGAAATCTTGCATCAGAATGCAAGAAACAGATACAACAGATTTTATCAAACCACACCCAGCAAGTCCTGCTACCACTCCATGTTCTTTTGCAGACAATGCTGCTAACACAAACAGCGCTACTTTCCCATAATTATAAGCCATGTTAATGTCAGTGAGACCAGCTCCATAAGCGTTGCAGAATGCTAGAGATGGTGCAAGCATGTAAGCCACCACAACATAGTACCATTTGAGGGGAGGGAACATGATTGGGATGACAATTATTGATATGGTGGCTAAAGTGATGTATCCCACCAAACCTACCCACATGGGTATGCTTTCTCTGATGAAAATTTGATCTTGTTTTGGATTTTCTTTTGGCTCATAGCTTTCTCTTGCTGAAAAACGTTAAAAACACCTGTCACTTACATTGTGATGCTTGAAATTATGTATCCAATCATGTATTTCTAACCTGTATTAAGCTTCTTGCTCTTCAATCTGTGAAGAATGCTGAAGCCAGTCACAAACATTATCTTGAGGAAAGTGTAAAGTCCATCTCCTAAGAGGAGAGCAACAGATAGAAAGACCTATATAAAAGTAAGATACTGGTGGAGTAAGCATTAAAAGTAGCAGCTACTCGCTGTACACATAAATTCTGTTTTCTGTTGAGATTAATTTAATTAACCTTATAACCATATAAACTCTTCATGTTAGTTTCTTCCAAATTCTCAGGAAACCAATCTCCTTTAAGCAGATTGATAAGTGGCCACAATAGTCCATATGAGAGTACAGCTCCAAGAAGAAGAGACAGATTCACTATATGGGGACAGATCATTCCTGTTCCAATGAAGGTCAGGCTAAAATCAAAGTAGAATCTGCAAAAAAAAAAAAAAAAAAAAAAAAAAAAGCACGTCAATTAATGTCAATCTGTTTAATTCATGCCTAATGATGTAATATAGGACTGCAAACACTTACGTCTGTTTCAAGGCTTGCAACCCAAAAGTGGGAAAGTGCGAAAATCCGCAGTCTTCTTTCCCTGAGAAAAACCACTGAAAAAATCCCCAGAAGAAACTGATAGAAAAGTACTTAATGAATCCGTGCACTTGTTTCCTGTGACAATCAACACTCATAGATTAAGTTTATGGATCCATTCTTATAAGTTGTAAGTTATGAATATAAGCAGGATAAGTATTACTTGGCCATCTCATCGCCTCGGGTATGGAAGCCATTGATGAGAACTGCAGTAGCCAAGCCGCTTGGATAAGTCAACTTAAGGTCAATTATCATGACCTGTAGAATCAAATTATGAATATGAAGTTAATAAAAAAGATATGTTCTCTTGGACCGAAAATTAATTGTAAAGATGATGTTAGAAAATCATACCTTTCTGAGTGGAATTAGTACAAAGAGCCCAATAAAGCAGACTAAAAAAAGGAAGGCAGTCATCCAACCAAATCCAGGCTCCTTTACATCACCTGCTGAGTTTCCTTCAGTATTCACCCCTGATAATTCGTATGTCTTCCTGTTTAAACCCAGAAGATAAGAAGCAAATCCACCTGCAACCCATCAAACTAAATAATTTATAAATTCTATAAACCAAATAAAAATTTATAAAACAAGAAGAAGAAATTTAAGGATGCCAAAACCTCCAACAGCTATGCTATAACATGCAACAGCACAGGTTTGTATCATGGTATTCTCTTGCCTACTGAAAGGTCTTGTTACAAAACCAGCTTTTTGAAGAAGTTTTGTCCATGTCCTGATAAACACAAAGGCGAGAAGTGCAGCAGAAACGTTGAGATGAGGGACTATACCAGTTGTGAGGTTTAATTTCATTACTATGATACTGAATATACTTCCAATCACAATGCTCACAAAAACTCCTCTTAACGTTATTTGTCTTGTCCATGGTTCTTGAACTCTCCTCGACACCAATTCGCTATTTTGTTCTTCATCTTCTTCTCGTTCCTTCTCTCTTTGAATCTCTTTCTTTTCTTTTATTTCCTCCATTTCCTTATTAACGGTTCTCACTGGATTTCTCTCTGAAATGAAAATTTTATTAGTTAATTCTTAATTACAAGTAGCAAGAATTATACAAGATGATGAAGGGGCAGGAAATAATGAAGAGTTAAGGAATCAATCTCTTGAATTTGTAAGAAGATGAAATGGGTTCATGCGTAATTCTCACCTTGGTTTCTTCAAATATTTCTGCCCTCGTAGCTAAGGTTAATACATTTATTTTCTCCTTTCCTGATCAAAATCTTTTCACTGAATAATACATCACCCCATGCAGGACCTACTTACAAAAAGAGTGTACTTGGTTTGGTCAATAGTCAAGCCAGTAGTATCTTCTTATCTTCTCTAACAGAACAGAACACAAGTAGAAATCATGGCCATTTTTTCATATTCTGTTGAAATCTAACCCTTAATTATTTGGTGTATTCTAAAATAAAATCATGTATAGTTCACTATCTTGAAGTTTCATAATTAAATGATTGATTCATTTGTTATGTTGATTACATAAAAAGCCTTATATAATTGTAAAAGAGACATCTTAAAGAAAAGACTAAGAAGATTTATCACTTTCTTCCTTAATTCTAACAAATTATGTATCTCTATAAGATATTTGAAGTTCATTCATAAATTAAACTTAAATTACATTAAAAAAAAAAAAAAGATCAATGAAAACAATGTTAAAATCATATAAGATTTGTTTTGATAACTAAAACAGTACACTTATTAGTTAAACCTTAAGATAATAAATTATCTAAAAGCAAATCATAGAATTTTTATTTTGAAATAAGTAAAAACTCTTTGTGAAAATGATGGGATGATGGTAAAGAGGATGCACGTAAATCTCTTATTGCTGCTCATCATTGAGGAAAACATTTTTCAGTGCATCTGAAAAAGGGACAATTGTTTGACAATATAATAATGTGCTACCATCGAGTTACAATGAGTAAAAGTTTCTTCAACAGTCAATGCTATATTTCTAAAGAATTCCTTTAGTTACTACTAAACATGCTTTGAAACATTCAATAAATACATCAAGACGAGTTTTGATTTTTGGATGAAAAACTATCTCATCATAGGTTAAGCACCTCTAAATTATCCTCGGTATTTTCAAAATGGCCCAAGTACTAAGGCAACTCAAAAGAAAGATAAATTAAATTTTAATTCTTTTATGCAACTATCTAATAATATTAGATTACCAAGTATGTAAATATCAAAAAAGAGAGTGTTGAATTTATGTTGGTTCAGCCAACACTCGTGCTTCCTACTTCTTCCTCAATCCAACTATTTTTCTTAAACTCTTACATAAATTAGTTACTTAGTGTTTAATATTTTCCAACAGCTTTTTCCAAACCCCTCTCTATAACAAAACCCAAGAGAAATAAAAGAAATTTAAGATTCACTCTATTAATAGAGTCATTTACAATTGAGAGTTCATTTAAAAATACAATTGCAGCACATTGTATTTTTAAATATTAAAGCGTAAGACTACATTCTCCATTTATTTTTTGAATATATTTTCATCATGACATATTGTTGAATAGAAAATTAAAATAAAATATCTTTGATTTTTTATTTATCTTTTAAGTCATATTTATTTTTCTTTTAGAACTTATTCTAATAAAACATTAAATTTTCTTATCCGTCAAAATTAATCTAAATAGTTCAACAATTTCATGCATGTATTGATGTTTTTGGTAGAACTTGAATCTTTTTAAGGCATATCATTCTTTTGTCTTAAGGTTTTAATTGAAGCATATTTCCATATTTTGAAATACCAAACATGGTATTGGATGTTAAGTAATGATATCTAGCGAACAGTCAAATTCTCCTTGATATTTTATCTTTGTGTCTCTTTAATAAGCCTTGGTTTTCTTTTTTTTTTTTTTTTATATCAAAAACAAAATAAGAATATATATATATATATATATATATATATATCTACATGTACAAAATAAATATCCAAATCAATGAACAACCACCTAGACTAAGTGAGAACAACAAAAAAAAATATCTTATTTTTATTATTCCACATAATTATTTTGAGATAAATATACGAGAGATCTCCCTTCAATAAATATATTTATTATAAATTTTAGTACGACCAATTAGAGAAAAAATTTTTTTTATATTATTTAGATGGTTAAGAATTTGGTTTAAAAATTTATTGTTTTCTGCTCAGAAAATTTGAGTGATATGTTTATGAAACTTATATTTGTGTTAGTGCGTATATAAATTAATTAAGCATTTGTTTAGTTGGACCTCTGGCTCTAGTTTTCCAATTAAAAAGACAAAGCTTGGTAAAATATTGAAAGTGGAAAGTGTTTTCATGTACAAGGAGTTAATTCTTTTAATGTGAAATTAAAAGTTTGAAAAATATATTTTTTAAAAATAAAATCATTCATATGAGGTTAATATATTAATTTATTATCAAATGTATTTATTATATCTATTAAGTTTTATTTAAAATTAAACAATAATATATATTATTATAATAACTAAATGTCTAACCTTTGGAAAATTATTTTGAAAGGTTTGGAACTCCTGTCTTTTTTCTCTGTACCATTGACGTACGATACAATTGAATATTAAAATTTTAATTTTCTTCAAAAGTTGTGTGGATAACACAAGTTGTTGTTTCAGACCACAAAAATTTATTGCAATTAATTTATAAATCAAAGTAGGACTCCGATATCAAATATTATTAACCCACGTATCTTATAAATACATATTATTTTTTTTTTTATTTGTGGATTTGGTTATTGATAGTTTTAGATTCGAAGCAATAATTGTGATGTCGCATCTTGGCCATGTGTTCTCCACGGGATCAAATTGAATTCAAGAACTCAGATATTTTACTAACACAATTAATCATTAAAAAATATTAATATTAAAATAATAAAAATTAGTACATAAATTATTTTAAAACAATAAAAATAATAATTGTGATGTCAGATATTTTAGTTTATTTATTTATTTAACTAACATAATTTAATCCTTGAAGAATATTATGTTACTTTAATTAAAAATTCTTTAATCAATTACTTCTTCTAATCTTATTTTGATTAAATATTTAATTTTTGAGAAAATTTTAGATATAAAAATAAAATAAAATTATAATATATAATTATTTATTTAAAATTTTAATTTTTAACTATCTATTAATAACTGTTTTTACTAGTATATATGTATATATTTAATTCATTTAGTTCCGTGGAGAACACACGGCCATGTTTAATTTTAAAAAATGATAAAATTATTTTATTAAACTAGAATTAATTTATGTAAAATTTTAAGATTTTTTTTTCAGTTGATTAAAATTAAAATTATATTATTATATTATTATAACGTCTCCGCTTCTCTACCGAGAAGAAATGCTATCACACTTATAAAATTCACTAATATGCAGCAATATAATAAAAAAATATATATATTTCATACACCTCTTGCATTTCGTAATATTACATACTGACATGGGGCGATAATTTATAATATTTACTTGCAATAAATTATTCTAATTTAATTTTCCTTACAATGTACAATTCAATCAGATTGGTATTTAATCTCCAAAAGCTAGAAGGCCTTTCTTTAATGTCTCCTGAGATTACTTCTTATCTTTCTTGAATCTTGGTGTAAATTAGAGTAAGTTTTACTCACCCAATAAGACTGAGACAATATTTTATGATAGAGACATGCACGCATATATTCACACAAGTGGAGGAAAACATATGCAACTTTATTTAAGAAAATACCAACCTAAAAAACATCATACCAAAGGAAAAATGTAACATCCCTGGAAATTCAAAATGAAATGTATATTAAAAATATCAAACGTGGAAGCGAAGTCAAAAATTCGATTAACA